ATCCACCACCTGCTCCTCTGTAGCCGACACAGCATTCACCTCCACATTGGGAATTTTATCCTCCGGATCCACAGATTTCTTTCACCGCTGCGCCACCCTCAGAAAGTGCTTCGATTTCTTCCCGATCCAGGTGTTCTCCAGCCATGTCTGTTCGGAATCCAGAAATTCCTTCCTCATCAGGGGAACCCGAGGTCTGGGCGTCACCACCACCCTTTAAACCGCTATCCCCAATAGTAGAGGAAAATTTCTTATGTACACTATTTACACCGCTGTTTACACTTTCTAAGCTACCCTGTTGTGCCCTGAAAGACTCAGTAGGCGATGAGGACGATGTAGTACCCAGTGCTGGCTCTTCTTCCATAGGGACACTGCCCATTCCAACACCAGACGCCTCATTGTTTCCAGCCATTTCAGTCTTTTTAGGAAGCACCCATTGGGTATCTCCAGTGTCCAAGCAGTAAAGATACTCTCTTCCATCTTCATGAAAATGGCGCTCCCACGTCGTCCCATCACAGGCGATGATCGGAATGTCAGCAGCTTGAGGCGCTTTGCCTCCACCAACAGCGTATAAGTCCTCTTCCGACTCCTGCCGTATCCTCGCCGCTTCCAACTCCAGGATTTCTTCCTCACTCATCACCCCAGCAACAGGCGCAACTCCTTCTGCGTCCCCAGTGAAGAGGATACTGCCTTTTGTTGCAGTCACAGGCGCAGTTTCTTCCGCTTTTCCTGTCAACAGATCGCCGAAGATCAAGCCCATGTCCGCCCAGAAGACGCAGCAAAGCCGCTCCCACCTCGTCTTCCAGCCTTTCTACCACCGGCTTCTCTTCGCCACGCATACCACCATCATCAACCAGAGCTTCCACATTGGGAACCACTTTTTGACCCGTTGCAGACCTCTTGCCACCAATTTCACCCTGATCGCCCACGTTGGGGCTCGATGACGCCGACCCAGTCTGCAACCAGTTGGAAGCCATTGCTTCAAAAGCTTGGGATTACCACCCTAAAGCCGAAACACAAACCGCAGGGAACCTAATTTGGGCTCATAACCTACGGGGGGCAACCAAAGGGGGAAAGGGATCAACCCCAAAGACCGCCCAGAACTTATATTCCCCAGATCGACCAGCACAACAAACGCAGAACACGGACCAGGAGAACCAGGGAAGGGAGTAAAGGGGGCCTATGCCTAAGCACCTAGGAACCAACCCCAACCCCAACCACGCGGGCTCTACCTTTTTTAAGCTTGTGGCCTTAGTACTTCTGGCCATCCTTGAGCCAGACATTGTCGGGTGCATTGACCCTTTTCATTTAACCCCAACACAATTCCTGAATACAACCTGCAGCTCCGCACCCCTAATCCCTAAGCGCCCGACAGAATTCCCTTGGTTCCTTAGGCCTCGGGGCTGAAAGGGTCTTGAGCTCCTGAGGCCGAAGCCAGGCGATCCTTTGAGGCGCCGACCTCGAGATGGTGCTTTAGGGGGTTTTAGGGTTTTAGGGGTTCCTTTAAGGGTTCCTTTAAGGGTTATAGGGTTTGCGGGGTAGGGTTTTGGGGTTAGGGGCTTAGGGGTTTTAGCGTTCCTTTTTAAGGAAAACCTAGGGCTTTTAGGGTTCCTTTAAAGGGAAAACCTAGGAGTTTAGGGCTTTTAGGGGTGAGAGGTTTAAAGTTTAGGGGTTTAGGGGTTTAGGGTTTAGTGTGTGTGTGTGTGTGTGTGTGTGTGTGTGTGTGTTTTTGTTCGGTGGTGCTTTCTGTTTCTCATGGTTGTGTGTTGTGTTTTGCACTGCCTGGCATACCCCATGGAATCCCATAGAGCTTTGAATGCTTCCCCAAACCCCAAACCCTCAACTCACATCACAACTCCATAAAGCCCTAAGCCCCAGACACTACAAAGCCAACTAGACCCAAAACTTGCTCGTGCTAGACCCCAAAACCTTATCCGAAGGATGTGAAAGAAGTCCAATAAATCAAACGTCGACCCTATACCCCTCCCTTTTTCGAGGCTATCGAAGCCCTTGCCCTTGAGGCAAGCCGTAACCTTTCCCTTAAGGTTTGGTTTGACCTAAGGGTCCATGTGCCCAACTAGTATATACTTCGGCCGTGCCCTTAACGTAGTCCACATCTAGGCACTTTGGGTTTTATACTACGGTTGATGATATGAACCCTGCATTACCTCAATGACCCTAGACTATGGGAATTATGGCACATTCCTTACTATGGGTAATGCAGGAATTATATCATCATCAACCCTAAATCCTAAACCCCCCTTAAAGGTATCCATATAGATCCTTTTAAATAATAGGAAACCCAGAATTTATATCATCAACAGTGTTTCGGTACATGAGCCCTTCGGGTTCCCCCGAGGACGACCTCAGTCGCCCGCAGAGTGCGAGCATCGCCCTGGAGCAGGGGTAGGCTCGAGATGCAGCGCTAATGTAGGTTTAGGGTTTAGGGTTTGGGGTTTGGGGGTTTGGGGGTTTAGGGGTTTAGGATTGAGGGTTTAGGGGTTTAGGGTTTAGGGTTATGGGTTCAGGGTTTAGGGTTTAGGGTTTGGGGTTTACCTGGACCCCCTCTGGGCCACCTTTCTTTTCTCGGAAGGGGGAAGAGGGTTTAGTTTGGGGTCTAAGGTTTGGGGTTTTTAAGGGTTTAGGGTTCGGGGTTTAGGTTTCCGGGTTTAGGGTTTAATTGGGGCGTTTTGTTTTTTAGAAGTGTGGAGTAGGCTTGTGGAGCTTTCAGTACGCATGTTTTCACGTTCTATACTTTAAATGTGTCCAGTGTTGGCGTCGGGGTTAAGAGTTTCTGGCGTTGGATTTGGACAGAGGACGCATTTTGGAGGCCTTGAACCACAAAGTGGGCCTACTTGGAGGCCCTTTTGACTTAGTAAGTAGGGTTAGTAAGGTGGCTTACGGGGATTATATAGGGTTTCTAGGGGATACTAAGTAGACTTATTAAGTCAAAAGGCCTCCAAGTACGGCAAGCAACATGCTGAACCCGATATGGACCCTGTACCCACTGGTCAACCCGAAATACCCCATAAGCCATAAGGCTCCATTAGGGCAGTCTTGGGAAACTGCAGAATTTCAATCTCATGCCCTACAGCCTTGAAGCGGAAGAACCCCAACTCCAGAAGAAGAGAGAAACCGAAGCACTACACACCCGGTGAAAGATCGAACAGGCAAAACAGACGCAAAACAGAATCCTTCAAACCGTAAGCCTTAAACCACCCCACACAACAACAGAAAGTATTAAACACTGTAGCAAATGAAGCAAATCAGTCAATCAATCAATCACCGTCACGTAAAAGAAAGTTTAAGCAGACACCATGCTGTCACCCGATTAAGCTGCATAAACCCGACGAGCCCTATGAGCCCTAAGCCCCAGAAATCCGATAAACAACCTTTCATCCCATGCACTATACAGGCCAGAAGCTGCAAGCCCCAAAAGAAACTCCTAAACCCTGTCGCCACATGTGCCTTGACATGAAACCTTCAACCGCAAAGACTAACATAACATCGAAAGAAACCCTAAATCCAGTACACACCCCATAGGCCACAGACCCCAAGCTTAAACCCTAGACCTCTAAACCCTAACCCATAAAACCCCCAGCTCCTAATCCCTAAACCCCAAGTTGAACCATAACATGCAGTTGAGGTTCCTGGAACCCAAAGCCACAGCAACGTTTCAAATAATGTAGGGGCCTTAATAATAAGAATGGGGTTTGGGGGTAGATCACACTATAATCATAATAAGGACCTCCAGAACCCTATTCTAATTAGTTAAGGCCCCTATACGATAGCACCCTTAGAGTAGCCAATATAGTAACCCTTCTTGACCCCCGTTAAGGGAACCCTGACTGAGGCGCTAATATTGCAAAACCCTACTATAGATAAGCAACCCTATAAAGGAACCCTACCCTATTCCAATTATTAAAGGTCCCTATATTACTGGTGTGTTGAGAGGAAGCTTTTGAGCTTTGTGGCCGCGTTGCGCTTTCAGGTGCCTTTGAACTCTGGGTTTTGGGTGCTTGGGGTTTAGGCGTTTTGGGGCTTGGGGTTTAGGGCTTAGGGATTTAGGGCTTATAGGGTTTCGTGTTTGTGGGTCCAAAGACATTAGGATTGTAGACCAAGCAGGTTCTCAAGGGGTTTTATCAGAATTTTACAAGTGCGTAAATGCACCTTCTGTGTTTTAAGGGTTTGATAAGGGCTTCTGAGGCTGGTATAAGAGTGGATAAAGGATTCGTGGGGGTGCTAGGCTGTCGAGCGAAGGATTCGGAGGTTCGTCATAGCATGCCCCCTTGTAGTACTTCTGCTGGGGTTTAGGGTTTGGGATTCCCTTTCCATTTTACGATGGGCTTACAAGGTCTAACTGCATGTTGACTCGACTCCCATTCCAAACTTGCCTTCCGTTGCAAGCTTTTGCAAGAGCGAGCGCAAGATCATGACTACCGTCGATCCCAACGAGATCCCGTTTTTCCCTGGCGGCTCGCTTGCGAGCTTTGACGCAAGACCCGAGACCGGCTCAGGAGAAGGAGCAAGAGCTCATGACCAAGTTCTTGTTATCTTTTGGGCGAGGCTGCAAAGAAAAACGCATCACTACATGGAAGGGCTAGTAGGTTCCGACGTGACGTCGTTAAGCCAAGCGGATGAGACGAAAAGCCGATGCTTGTCCCACGACCTGCTGTCCATCCCAAGGTCTTGGCATGAACCCACCGGCCAGCCCTCGTAGTCAGTTCGGGGATTCCTGCTCAGCGGCTGGAAAGCGGCATCTCACGTTCCACATGTATTTTGCTTGTCTTCCTTTCCCATGGGCATGGCAACCACTGCTGTTTACCATGCCAGTCAATCCATGAGATTTCGGTGGATGATGCATAGCGGGATTGCCCCAGCTAGGGTTGTGTGCTGGGTTTTTGATGGAACGCGGGGCCAGGCAAAAACAATTCGGAGCTTTGCACGTTCTGGCCGAGCCATTCTCGCGAATCAAGGTCGATGTCCAGTAGCGTGCGTCCGCCATGACGATCACGAAGGCGGACATGTCGGCATCCGCCAGGATATACCAGAATCCGGCCATGCCTCGTGAGCTATGGTTCAACTTCGGTTGGTACATCCAGAAAATGCAACGCTTTCCCTCCTATGAGCAGTGGATGGGGGATTTCATCAGCAAGAACGACTATGACAAGATTGTGAGGGGGGTGCAGGACCAGCTGAAGGACTCCAGCATCGCCGAAACGGCGGAGGAGTTGTGCGGGAAGGCGGTGTGCTGCAGCGCGGCTTCATTGTGCCTCTGCTGCCCCTTCTGCAGCTGCTTGGTGTGTCTACAAAGAACTGGAATCTTCAGTCTGAAAACAAAGTCCACTGCTTTCTTGGCTTCTTCTGGTGTCGAGCTTGACATGCGCATAGAGTTCGTGGAGTATAAGTCTGGGCAGGTGGGACCGCCGTGGTGTGACTCCGCGTCGAAAAACCTCACGCTTGTGGCCCCAGAGGCTTTAAAACACCAGCACGGGGGCCCACCGCCTGGCTGTAGTTTGGTGATCACTTTGCAAGAGGCAATCCCATGGCCGCCCCCGGTCACCTCGGCTCCGCCAATGGAAGCCATGGCAGGTGCCCTCACCGATGCCGTCAAGGGGGCCGTGAAGTGGGTGCCGTCCGGCAAAACAGTAACCCTAAACCCGTATACATGTGGAGCATCCTTGAACCACCCCTCAGGCGTTCAACGCGTTTTCCTTCCCCCCCTGAAAACAGGCGCAGTCTGACGAAGTCCAGGATGCCGTCCAGGGCGCCGTTGACGGGGCCAAGGGTGCTGCCAAAGCGGCTGTGGACTGGGTGCCGCCTCTAAAATGTTGAAGTCCTAAGCTGTAAGCCCTCTAACCCTCTAATTTTCCAACCCTGTAACCCTAACAGTGGAAGCAGCGTTGAATCAGCCTTGAATCCCCCCAAAGCCCTAAGCCCTAAGCCCTACGCCCTAAACCCTAAACCCTAAACCCCAAACCCCAAACCCCAAACCCTAAACCCTAAACCCTAAACCCTAAACCAAACCCACAACTCGGAAAGCCTCGAAGCCATACGAGGCGCAATCCGACGAAGTCCAGGATGCCGTCAAAGGTGCCGTTGACAAGACCAAGGAAGCTGCCAAAGCGGCCGTGGACTGGGTGCCACCTCTCAATTTCGAAGTCCTTAACCTCCCTCTCACCCCTAAGAGTGGAAACGGTTTTCAATTCCAAGCCGTAATGCTCCCCAGCCGATTGGACACCTTGAAGAGTTGAGTTGCGCAACGCCGCCGCGCATTGGTTTTGAGTCCTAGCTGGAACTTCCGTCTCAAACCCCAAACGACCTGAAAGTGCGAAATGCCAAATACAAAGCCCTGCATTCTGGTGGTCCGATCAGGCGCAATCCGACGAAGTCCAGGATGCCGTAAAGGGCGCCGTTGACGGGGCCAAGGGTGCTGCAAAGGCGGCCGTGGAATGGGTACCATGGTTGGGCAGTGGAAGTTCAGCATTTGGCACTATCTCAATGCCAAATGCCATAGCGACCGAAAGCCTTCTCAACCTGAACATCTGCTTTCCTGTAGTTCCGCAATCCTAGCACATCCTGTAAATCCGAGGCCTCAGCCGTATGTGAAGCGAATAATTCAAAGAAGTTAGACCATCATCATAAGGTGGTTTTTTTGATGACCGCAAGAATCTTCATGAGTTTCATTGTATGCAACGGAGAAATTTGCACGTGAATGAGAAGAGAGAGGCAGACCACAGAACATACAGGCGAACTTAACCAAGAGCAACCTTTGCGTGCTCATTTTTCTTGGATGCAAAAACTGCTTTCCGGCGTCATGCGCCTTTCATTCGCTTTTCTCACGTGCGTCTCCGCCTTCGGGAGCCTCTTTCGGTCTTGCGAAAGACACCAAGATCAGCAAGAGAAAGTTCCCAAACCCACTCCTGTTCTGGATGACGCTGTTCTCACAAAACTGCACGCACAGCTAGGGTCGTTCTGGTGCTGGCCGTGCACGCACATCTCTCCCAAGGCGCAATCCGACGAAGTTCAGGATGCCGTGAAGGGTGCCGTTGACGGGGCCAAGGAAGCTGCTCGTGACGCTGCAGAATGGGCGCCTGGGTTTCCGGGGGCAGGCTGGGGTCTTTCGGGTTGAGGGTTGAAGGATGTTGAAGGTTTCAAAGGACTTAGGTTTTGAGGATTTGGTGGTTTTGCGGTTCGCGCAGGTTCAGGCTTAGGATCTGATGGCTCAGGCTCGGTTAGCTTGTACTGTAGATCCTGCCCTCTGCCCGGCTGTAGGCATCGCCTTACGGCGATGCTCAGGGACCATTAGATCTTCTGACCCTGCGTCGATGTCTCTACCACGTGCCCACACATCATTTTCTAGTTCACACACACGCACAAACTGGCACTTATCTTACAAGTATAGAAGTGAAAACGCATGAGACATGTTCTTTTTTAAAACCCACCCTCGGCTAGATTTTGAAACTAAACTCGCCTTCTCGCCCGCTCTGCTCCTCGCCCATCACCCGTACCCCACCCCCCAGAGTATCCTCACAGTGTCCCTGGAGTTCCCAACCCCCAAAGTTCAAACTCTGTGGGTTGGGATGTTCGAAGGAAAACATTGTAGAAAACATGAGACACGCCCACGTGAAATGTATAATGTATGTATGTATATATATATACATACATGTATATAGACACATGGGGGTCAATTTTCCTTTCAACTCCTCCTGAGTCAATTTTGACGACCTCGACATGAAAGCACTCATACATCACAGTTGTAGTATATGTGTGTATGCAATGCACGTATCTATGTATTTATATGCTTTTGTATATGTATATGTGTGTACGTTTGTGTGTATGTGCGTATGTGCGTATGTTCAAATGCACGCATGTATGCATGTGCATATGCCTAGATGCTAGGTAAATACACCTTCGGTCCCTTGAACGTCAACGCCCAGACCTTGCACAAGTGAAGCACCGCATCCTCGACCTTACTTGGAGGTTCATGGGTACTTCTGACCCTCAATTATAAGTCTACTCGTAACCTACTTACAGGACTTAAGGAGCTCATAAGTGCAGTTCTAATTGGGCTTACAAGTACCCTGAGCCTCCCAAGTAAGCCCTCAAAGAAAGCTACTGAGGTGCAGCAGGTCAAGCCAAAACAGCAGGCGATGGCCCCTTGGCCGCAAGCCCGGAAAGTGGCTGCTGAGGACCCTAAACCCTAAACCCTAAACCCTAAACCCTAAAGCCTAAAGCCTAAAGCCTAAACCCTAAACCCTATACCCTTAACCCTAAACCCTAAACCCTAGAGCTCTGATCATGAAGTTCTGACAGTGACGGGGTTTTGGAGTCGATGGTTTTGGCTTTGTTCTCAACCGGCTTCGTGTTGGTCTCAACCGGGGATGGACTTCTCTGGGCCTCTCTTAGGACGAAAACTTCAATGGAGTCCAGGGCAAGTTAAGCGTTTGCAGCTCCTTCAAGAACTTAGAAGCACCACCCTTGAGAAACCGCAGGGTCCATTCAAGAAGGGATGATGACGAGTCGCGCCTTTGGGCGAAAGAAAGTTGCCAATTTCGCTAGAATGGGGAATTCTAGAAGAGTTGATATGACGAATCTATACGGACTATAGGGGATCATGTTTGGCTCCTCAGGCTGGGATTTGGGTGGACTCAAAATCTTCCCCGAAGCTCGAAATCCCCCACAAAAAACAACACCCCTAAACCCTAAACCCTGAACCCTAAACCCTAAACCCTAAACCCTAAACCCTAAACCCTAAAACCCTAAACCCTGTTGAGCCCTTCATGGTGTCCTGCCACCTCGGGCCTAACGAAGGGAGCCGCCACCCCAAAGCCGGGTTTAGGCTTGAGGGTTTCGGGGCTTAGGTTTTGGCGGCTGCTGGTCAGGACCCCTAAACCCCAAAAAGACGTAATTTCCGAGCCTCAACCAAACCGCAAGCCCGAAGCCTTCAACCCCAAGAGCAAGGTGTTTTTCCTGGGGGGGGGGGGGGGCTCGGCAACACAGAGATCCCAATATGCCGCAATCTTGAAATTTTGCGTAGTTCTTCGTCAGGACCCATGCAACCACAGGCAGGCAGAAGACCAAAGGGGTAGGTTCCATTCTGAAGCTAGTTCCCTTACAAAGATAGATAGATAGATATATATATATATATAGTAGTTCCTTAAAAGGTTAGAGCCTGTTAGAGATTTAATTTTAGGTACGGCTTCCTATCGCAAAGCCGAAAGGCCTTATGTCGCCTACCTAAACGTCATGACGCTTCCAGCTGCGAACGGCGAAAGACTGCAAGCTAGACATTCCCGGGAAACCCCTAAAAGAAGACTTAAACCCTGAATCTGATCCTGAAGCCCTCAAACCCCAACGTGGAGCTTCATCTTTCATCCCTAAACCCTAAACCCTAAACCCTAAACCCTCAACCCTAAACCGAAACCCTAAACCCTAAACCCTAAATTTTAAACCCTAAGCCCTAAACCCTAAACCCTAAACCCTAAACCTTTTTTGTGTCATCGCTTACTATCCAAGCCTAAAGAGGGATCTTGAACCCTCTTGGAAGTTGAGGATGGGTGTGCAGTCTTTGGCTGCTGCAATGGTCCCGACAAGACGGCCCAAGTGGACGTTGTGCCGGTCCTTGACAACAGCAATGTGGTTGCAACGATGTAGGCGGGCTTAGGGTTTAGGGATTAAGGTTCAGCGTGAGTGTGCAGACTCGAAATAATCTCACGTTCCCGGATGAGTGCTTAATCTTGAGATTCAGACTGTACTTGCTTCACCCGGAATCCCTAAACCCCAAAGCCCTGAACCAACTGAAAGATTCACCAAAATTTCCGGCCTTCGACAGCAAAGCTGCGAAGCCGGACCTATGCGGAGCGGGCATCCGTTTGTAACTGCAGTTCCATGACACCTGTCCAGAGCCGGTAATAAGAACCCTAAATCCTACACCCTAAACCCTAACGTTAAACCCTAAACCCTAAACTTGGGTTCGGCCGGTCCACACTAACAGTTAAATAACGCCGTGGCCACAGGCCAAAAATAGCACCAGGAATCCCAGTCAATTTTAGCATTTACCGTGCTGCTTTTTGTGGGTCTGCTGGTGGTGACTGCTAGTCACATAGCACCAGAAATAGCACCAGAAATAGCACCAGAAACAGCACCAGAAATAGCACCAGAAATAGCGCCAGAAATAGCAGCACCAGAAATAGCACCAGAAATAGCACCAGAAACAGCGCCAGAAATAGTAGCACCAGAAATAGCACCAGGAATAGCACCAGGAATCCCAGTCAATCTTAGCAGCTTAGCATTTACCGGGTGCTATATCTTGTGGGTCTGCTGGTGGTGACTGCTAGTCACATAGCACCAGAAACAGCACCAGAAATAGCACCAGAAACAGCACCAGAAATAGCACCAGAAATAGCACCAGAAACAGCACGAGAAATAGCACCAGAGATAGCACCAGAAATAGCACCAGGAATGACTGTTAGTGTGGACCGGCCGAACCCAACCCTAAACCTTAAACCCTAAAACCTAAATAAACCTCCTAAGCCCTAAACCTGTAAGAGCAACAGTAGGTGTGCAGGAGAACCGCAGATACTTGCGTAGGGCTGCTAACAAGCCCAGCGAAGGATGCAGTGAGCACCACGTCGGTCGAAAAACCTTGACGGAAGTTGACGTGATGTGGGGTTTAGGGTTTAGGGTTTAGGGTTTAGGGTTTAGGGTTTAGGGATGTTTAGGGTTTAGGGTTTAGGGTTTAGGGTTAAGGGTTCAGGGTTTAGCGTGTAGGGTTTAGGTTTAGGGTTTAGGGTTTAGATTCTTAAGGATGGGCCATGGGGATGAGAGCCCCTTGAAGATGCTAAAAAATAGAGCCTGTCTCATGAGCATGTTCAGGGTTCAGGGTTTAGGGTTCAGGGTTCAGGGTTTAGGGTTGAGGGAGTTTTTCAATTCTTGCTGTGCCCCAGGTAACCTTAAACCCCACTCCTGAAAACGAGCTCCGACAGAAGCGCCCAAAACGTGCCCAGCTGTTGAAGCTCGAGAGCCAGAACATGCCTCAGCCCCTCAAGCCCCTAAGTCCTGAGCCATGAAGAGCTGAGCCCCCAAGCCCTTACAAAAAAAGGGATGACTCTGCCTCAGTCATTGGGGATACCTAAGCCCAACACCCCAAACCTTTTGAGGATGTACACTCTTAGCAGACGTCTCCCCTCAACCCTAAGCCCTGAACCCTAAGCCCTCAAAGCGCTGAACCCTCAACCCTCAACCCTCAGCCCTCAACCCTCAAACCTCAAACCTCAACCCTCAACCCTCAAACCTCAAACCTCAACCCTCAACCCTCAACCCGCAACCCTCAACCCTCAACCCTCAACCCTCAACCCTAAACCCTAAACCTTAAACCCTAAACCCTTAAAGGCCCTAAAATCCCATGGATTTTCGGCCGCCTTCCGACCTGGGCGCCGGCGTGGGGTACCGGCGGCGTCCGCCGCCACGGCCATGGGCAAGCTTTGGGCGCCTCCGGGCATGGGCAATGCTGTAAGTGTTGGGGTTCATTATGGGTTTAGGTTTAGGGGTTTAGGGTTTAGGGTTTAGGGTTTATGGGTTTGCGTGTTTATGATCGGTTTGTGGGTCTACGGCTTTATGGGTTTGCGGGTTAAGGGTTTGTGGCTGCTCTTGGACCCGAAACCCAAGTAAGCCCAAAGGGCCCCACAAGCGTGTCGCTGAGCCCGAGAGTGAGCCCTGAAGCCCCCAAGAGAGGCCTTTTGGTCAACTTTATGGGGTGATTCTCATCAGGAATTCACCCGCCCTTTTGAAGCCCCAACCCTCAACTGTAAGTCCAGAAGCGATAGGTTGAATTTGAATCCCTCTGGCCATTTCTTGCTTGTGAGTGGTGGCTTGTGAGTTTTGAGGGGCCCTTCGCCTAGTGCGGGTCTTGAAGCACCGTGACCCGCAACATCGTCCTTGAGCCAGATGGTCGAAACGTACCTACAGAAGTTGCGTGAAGCTGCGTGTGCGGCGCGAGAATTGTTTTGGGCTGAAGGCGAAGAAGTCGAGCCTGGACTCCACCCAACCCTAAACCCCGAAATCCCTGAACCCGTTGTTGCCTGAAGCCGATATCTCCCACGGGTGGTGTGGGTTTGTTCAGGTATGTGATAGTGAGGCTCCTCCCAGTTTAGGGCACCAAAGAAGGCGTATACAGTTCAGGAGATTCCTTGTAGTTTCGGGTACGTACCCAAGAAGGCTGTACCAGGCAAAACCAACCCCCCACTCCCCCCCACCCCGGCAAAGACAACAAACCCGTTGCGAGGTGCCACATGCAGTCGCTTGTCTGCGATGGGCCAGAAATGTGTCGAAACTTTTTCTGTGTACGCTGGGAGCCAACCACCCCTTCATGTTGAACCCTAACCCTACACCCTAAATCCTATATAAGCCCTAAACCCTGCGGGCTTACGTATTTAAGACATTCTGGGTTAAGGGGACTGGGGGTTTGGGCTTAGGGCTTGGGGATTTTGGCTGCCATCCCCATGTCCTCAACTCCCCCCTCGAGGCCCCCCACATTTACGGGTTAAAGCCGAAAGCCCCGAACCTCATGAGGCCCCCTAAGGAAAAACCCTAAACCCTAACCCCTAACCCCGAAACCCTAAACCCTAACCCCTAAACCCTAAACCCTAAACCCTAAACCCTAAACCCCAAACCCTAAACCCTAAACCCCAGACCCTAAACCCCAAACCCTAAACCCCCCACCGGGCAAGGAGCGCGTGTGGGCGCCCTGCCGCTTGGAGAGCGATGATGGCCAGACGCTCACACTGATCTCCGAGGCTCCAGCCCTGCTGTGGTGTAGGGTTTAGGGTTTAGGGTTTAGGGCTAGGGTTTACGGTTTAGGGTTTAGGGTTTAGGGTTTAGGGTTTAGGGTTTAGGGTTTAGGGTTTAGGGTTTAGGGTTTAGGGTGCAGCTGGGATGGTGCTCATTTGCCACGAGCAAGAAACTGGTATATACTATATGCTACCTGTGTTTCAGTAACTTGCGGCCCCCCCCCCCCCCCCCCCCCCCGACCTGAAATATTTTATTGAGGTTCCACTAGATATGGTCTATATATATATATATATCTATATATATATATATATATATGCAGTTATCCCTCTATGTGTTCTTTATTTGAATCCGTGGCATACCCTAACTTTGTACATGGAAGCCTTTGGGGGGTTTGAGGCTTGGAGTGCCAGGATTCACTGCTTTGGGGGTTGTAGGGAGGAGAAGTCCGATGGTCTAGGCTTCAGGGAGAAAAGTTGGGATGTTCTTCCTTATACTAACAGGCCTTAAACGGGATTATAGAAGGGTACTATTGTCCCTATTAAGGACTGTTCGTATGGGAAGCATCCCAGCCCGAAGGCATAAGCACGCCAGCTTCCCGGCAGGACGGCGAAGTCCTGCAGTGGGCGGCGAAGAACGCCGTCTCCCTGGAAGCAGTTCAGGCCAGGGGTGGGTTTCGATTGATTTCGGGCTTCGGGGGTAACAGGCCTTAACACCTGCTATACAAATGCTTCAGACCTCTGGTGCACGAAGAACCCTCCTACAGAGAAAGTCCGTGTCGCCTGCGAGGAAGACCAAACGACCCTGCCAGCGTTCCAAGCCGTAAACCAGAAAGTCGTAGATCTCAGATCGCATCCCATTGCCTAAGCCCGAAGCCTTAAACCTCCCCTAAGCCAAGCGCCGCAGATGCTCACAGGACTGTCAGCTAGATGGCGTGGAGGAGCTGCTCCCTGTAGTCGCTGAGCCCAAAAGAATTGCAGTTCGCAACTCATTTTTTCGGTCTTGAAACTTCCGTAGATGTTGAGGGTTTCGGGAAGTATTGAGTGTGGTGTTGCCTTGGACCGGCATGTGGCTGGTCTTGTAATGCCCTTTCGCAAGCAAGCACCTCTTCCCCTTCGGTGTCTACAGCTTGCGGTACCCTAAACCCTATCCCAAAATCCTAAGCCATGAGCCGAGCCCTTGGAAAATATCCCTCTGGCAGGACGTCTGTACCTTGCCCGCGGTGTCGGAGGCATTTTTGGGCTTTTGCATCCCTTTGCTGTGGGTTCGGGTCGGGAATTAGGTACCTTGAGCCTCCCCCCATGTATGACCCCGTAAGGGACAATACAGGGCACCTGAGTCCCCGTTTCAGAACTCGCACGTATGTAAGGGCGTAAGTTTAAGGTTTAGGTCTGGGCGGGGCTTTCGATGAAGCCCCAAAACCCCGAAGCTCTGCCCAGGTCTTCCATCACGCCAAAACCCTAAACCCGAAACCTGAAAATCCTAAACCCTAAACATTAAAACCCCAAAACCCCCAACCCCACACCCTCGTCAAGCACGTTCAGAGTTGTAGGTTTAAGCACGCAGCAAAGACATCTCCAAAAGTACCCTGGAAAAAGAGCCCAAGTGTACCTTATTCAGCGAAATCTAGGCGTTGCCCTAAACCCAAAACCCTAAACCCTAAACCCTAAACCCTAAACCCCAAACCCTAAACCCTAAACCCTGAGCGGCCCTACCCTACATCTCTGCACATGTCGAGGCGGCTCTGCTGCACACCCTGCGCGTGAGGTACTTTAGGCAGCGGGTTTAGGGTTTAGGGTTTGGGGTTCAGGGTTTAGGGTGCAGGGCAGCTTCCCCAAATTGCTTGTATGTTTTTTGTTGTCTTTTTTTCGGGGTTGTTCAGGGACATGGGCTGGTCAGTCAAGAAGCCTGGAATTAGGGAAGAGTTCGCACAAAGTCTTGAGCTTTCATAGATGTTTAAGGTCGATTGCCTTTTAGGTACTTCTCTTCCTGTTGTTGCAGCTCATTCCAGGGGAATCCTCGAGCCCAATCGAAAGAATCGAGGAAAGAAGGGCTTGTAAGGAGCGTGAGGACATGAGTGAAAGAGTGAGAGAAAAGGGTTGTTAACAATACCATCTGTGCATACTTGGAATATATATATATATATATGTATATAATTCACGCGTGCGCGCTAATATTATGGTCAGTGGGGCGTTCACTGCGTTGACTCTGTTACACTCGTTTCCTTGGCTAAAAGCATCGGGGAAAATAGACCAGAAATGGGAGAACTGGCCGCGGGCTTAGGGTTCCAGGAGTGCGCAGTGCCTAAGCCCTAACCCTAAACCCTAATCCCTGAACCCGAAACCCTAAAACCTAAACCCGAAACCCGAAACCTAAACCCTGAACCCTACATGTAGGGTTCAGGTTCTTAGACTTCGAATCGAAGGCTTAGGCGTTGCAAAGGCTTAGGGTCGGAGTTGACATCAGCTGTGGGATCCCTGAGAGCCTAGGCATGTGCAGGTTTGATCACCTTGGCCCTACACTTATTTAGGGTTTCGGGATGTTTAGGGTTTAGGGTTTAGGGTTTAGGGTTTAGGGTTAGCTCCGAGGCCCAGCAGTCCTAACTCCTGAGAGCCCTGCAGGGAAGAGATCTACACCCGCGTGGCCCGCATCCTCATCTCGGTGAATCCTTTTCGGCCTCTGCCCATCTACGGGGCGGAGCAGCTGGTCTGAGGAGATTTCTTATGGTTTAGGGGTGCCAAACGGAAGCGCGCTTTGGGAGCGCGCGGAAGTCTGCAGACCTACCCACCCCAAGACCGCCCACTTCCAACTCTCAAGGAGTTAAGACCTTTTCTTTTTTACAAAGCATCACATGAGTCAGCACTCACGCCCTTTTGGGGACCTCCACAAGGTGCGTGGACGAGGCACAAAGCTGCAGCAGACGGAAAGGCGAGGCAGGGTCAGCGAAGACAGCTTAAATTAATGCGAAGGGGCTATGGCCAGGGATGGGCGAGGAACAGACAGGTTGGCGCGAAGGGGCTAAAGCCAGGGAGGCAGGGCCAGGGAACACAGGCAGTGAACAGCTTGGGTTGGCGCGAAGCGAGTGGACAGCTTGGGCTGGGCAGAGCGCCACGGAAACAGGGCAGGCGTGGACCAGGCACAAAACTGGTGTGCGGACAGCTTGTCTTGGCGCGAAGGGGGCAAGGTGATAGGGCCAGGGCCAGGGACCCAACAATGTGCGCGGACAGCTGGGGTTTAGGGTAACAGTAACATAATATAATACAGTGATAAGGGCTATTAAGTAAGTCGGGGGAGGGGAGCGGCATAGTTGTAGCTGGCTGCGTACCCTTTTGGGAGCCTGAAAACCCGAAACCCTACTTATGACTGCCCACGATTGTTCCATCGGTTCAAGGTCTCGGGGTGACTGACAAACTCGAATTTCCCCACAGGTACCCTTTCATATATACCCCCCCCAAAAAAAGTCTACTTTATTCTAGGAAGCCCCAAAAATGGTACTTCTATTTTGAGACACCCCCATATCCTGAAACCCGAAGCCCCACAACTGTACAACCCAAGCCTAGATACCGAAAACTTCTTCTGGGCACATAGTCAGCTAAATGAATGGAACGGGTCATTGCGACCAAGGCTGGATGATTCTCGATCAAACCCTTAGTCACCGTAACCCTAAACCCTGGAGCACTGGTGACGTTGCGTAGTCCCAGAAGCAGACTGCCCTGAGCCCCAAAACCCTGATCCCTAAATGCAAACCTGAACCCAAAACCCAAACCCCCATGACCCTAGCAGCGGACCCCCGACCCTAAACCCAAACCCCAATCCCCAAACCCCAAACCCTAAACCCAACCCGAAATGTTATCTCCAGGTGGGTCCCTGTTATCACCCTCCACTCGACCCCAAGCCGAAAAGCTTTCAACCTTGAACCCCAAACCCCTCTTAACAAAGGAACCGCCCTTAGCCCTAAACCCTCAACCCTCAACCCTCAACCTTAAACCCTAAACCCTAAATCCTAAGCCCTAAACCCTAAACCCTAAACCCTAAACCCTAAACCCTAAACCCTAAACCCTAAACCCTAGACCCTAAACCCTAAACCCTAAACCCTAAACCCTAAACCCTAAACCCTAAACCCTAGACTGGGAGAGAGCTGACAAGGTGGCTTCTCCGACACCAGCAGCCCCGTGACTCTCGCGAGCTGCCGCCGCACATCTACGGCATCGGTGCCCCAGCTTCAGTGATTCGAGAGATGTGGGTTTAGGGTTTAGGGTTTAGGGTTAAGGGTTTAGGTTTCGGGTTTAGGGTTTAGGGTTTAGGGTTTGGGGTTTGGGGATTTGAGGGGGGGAGGGGGGAATTGGGTCCGGGGTCTGGGGGCTGAAGTTGTACAGGAATCAGGTTTAGGGTCTGGGGCTTTGGGGTTTCGAGGTTGTTGGGACAGTCTGCGATCATATGGAGTCCCGAAAACGGGTGTTTCAATATTTGCCTGTGGTTCTTCTCAATCAATCTGACCGACCCAAAACCCAAAACCCTAAACTCTCTCATATACTTGGCATCCTTGCATGGTTTGAGGTGATCCAAGTGCTTCAAAAGTCTTTGTTCGACAAATCCCGGACCAACTCTAAACCCCAAATCCCAAACCCCAAACTTCTTTTGTGTTTGATGCACATGTTGAAGATTTGCCCAGAAAAGGCTCTAGAAGCCTTCCCTGAAGGGTGCGCCGTGACCTGTCCAAAATATGTTGCTTCTTTGTCGGATTCAGTGCAAGACCCGATGCCCGACTGTTGGCCCGGAGAAAAGCCATGGACGAACATAGGAACCTTAGCCCGGTACCCTAAAGCCGCAAGCACGAAACCGCAAGCCTTCAAAAGTTGTTTTTCTAATACATCGTACAAAGTCATATAGCATATTATCGCATATGTTTAAAGACTCTCTTGCCCAGGCCCATGTCTTGGGCCCTACCCCAATCAACTTTCAGGCCACGACGCACTTCAGGGCCTGGCGGCTGGCTACAAGGCCACCCGGTCAGCATTTAAATTCTGTCAAGTTCCGGGTTGAGGGCTTGGGATTTGTCAAGCCCTTCATCTAGGTGCAGAGCCGTTTTTGTTGAGTAGCAGACCTGGAGCCCTACCTTGTATTGTCTCCCTTCACTCAAAAGTGACCCAAAAGAGCTTCAACCCGTGTGTTTCAAGGACCAGGCAATCGTCATCAGCGGTGAGTCTGGAGCCGGGAAGACAGAGTCAGCCAAGTAGCTTGGCCAAAGTTTGGGCGGCTGTCCCCCCCCCCAAGCTTCCTTAGCCGGCCGTTGTTCTCAACCGAGGCTCCTGTTGGAGAGAACTGTTACATAAGAATATTCCCGCCGCCGAGTCCTAAACTCTGAAGGCTTAGGCCCAGCCCTACCCACAGAAGCCGGTGTTTTGAGAGGGCAAGTTTTGTTTTTGGGTTTTTGTGTGGGTTGTTGATATAAGAATCTTCAAATGCCGAGAAGAGCAGAAACACACAGTAAAACGTCAAACCGTTCAACGAAGAGCAAAAGCACTTCCAATCAACATCTACTAACAAGCGAACGATGGCGGCAACCCCTAGATATTCTGCGCAACAGCAATCACGAGATTGTAGTGGAACACACATGTCCAGTTCTGCACCAAAGGGGCTAGTCCGAAGCAGGCAGCAGACATCTCCCACACGCAAAACACGTATCCCAGAACACGTCTTCGACCGCGTAACATCTAACAGGGACATGCGGACCCTTCAATCTCACCTGATAGAAGACAACGGTGACAATACTTCCTTAACTCGAGCCGGTCTGATTGCATTCACGTGCTTGGGGTCTTCGCTGGTCTAATTTCTTGGGTTCATTGGTTGAGGGTATGGATTTGTACTGAAGCTTTTTCTTTGCGGAATACGAAGGTTTTCTGACGTAGAGGTGTTGGACTTAGGGAGTTGGAGCCGTCAAGTGGCCGTGATCCCCAAGAATGCCACCACCAGAACTCCCCCTAAACCCTGAACCCTGAACCCTAGCCCTAAACCCTACACCCTACACCCTAAACCCTAAACCCTCAACCCTAAACCCTAAACCCTAAACCCTAAACCCTAAACCCTAAACCCTAAACCCTAAACCCTAAACCCTAAACCCTAAACCCTAAACTCTAAACCCTAAACCCTAAACCCGAAACCCTAAACTCCCCCTGGTCCGAGGTTCTTACTGAACTTCATCGCCGAGTCGGTCAAGGGAATCCTAGCTAAATGCGAAGCCCTGAACCCCCAAAAGCCCTAAACCCGAACCCTAAACCCTAAACCCTAAACCCTGAACCCTAAACCCTAGACCCTAAACCCAAAACCCCCAAAACCCCTAAAACCCCCGACACCCTGGGATGCACACAGGACCTGCAGGGGTTCAGGGTTTAGGCTTTGGGAGTTTGGGGTTGAGGGTTGAAGGTTTAGGGGGGGGAGGGGAAGGGTAGGGGTTTAGCTGAACCCAAACCCGAAACCCAAACCCCAAACCCCAAGCAAAAAAGCAAATAACACATTCGAAATAGGGTTTAGGTTTAGAGCTCGGGGTTTGGGTTCTATGGCATACTTCTCATGATGACAGAGGTCCTAGACCCTAAACCCTCAGTTCAAGGGAGTCGAAAGCTTCGGCACCCCGGGCAAGGGAGGGAGACCTAGAATAGTTTCGGAAGGGTCCTTGCTCGCAAATGGAGGTTCCTTAGGGTTCGGATATAGGATCTAGGGTTTAGGTAGCCGGCTCTAGTATTATGACGCCCACATTCAGAATGCCGTTATTGGAGGAATTTCGGGGTAGCTTGGGTTCTCCGAACGTCCACGTGATGCAGGTAGAACCCATCAGCCTCACACCCTAAACCCTAAACCCTAATCGCTAAACCCCAACCGTTACTCCAGGCCCTAAACTGTAAACCCTACACGAAGATGTGTTTTTGAAATGCCCAGTAGCACACGGAGTCCCTTTCTACGAAAGGGGCCCCTTGATAAGCACAGACACCGCCCGCTTTGCTTTGGGGAAAACATGAACCTCGACCCTAAACTTTAAACCCTAAACCCACCCGACACCCTAGACCCCCTTAAACCCTAAGCCCTACTTCCTAAACCCTAAACCCCAAACCTCAAACCCCAAACCTCAAACCCCAAACCCAAGGCCAAAGTCCCACCACCCAACCCTAACCCAAAGCCCCAACAACACGAACCCTAAACCACAAACCCCGGACCCTAAACCCTAAACCCACCCCTGCCTACACCCTAAAGGCACCGAGGCCTTAACCTGTCGGGGTTCGGTGCTTCCGTTGTGTGCTGTCGAGGGTGGATAGGGTTTGCGGGTTTTAGGGGTCAGGGTTTAGAGTTGAGGGTTTAGGTGTTAGGGATTAGGGTTTAGGTTGCAGGGCTTCGGATTCAGGGTGAGAAAATTCAGGGGTGGATAGGGTGTAGTTGAGCTGCGTTTGGTGGACCTTTGGGGCCTCGAGGCCATGCGGACGCGAGTGCTGCTGGCCTGGAAGCCGAGGCGGGGGGGGGGGGGGGGTGTTTCAGGGATTCGGGGCTTTAGGGCTTTAGGGCTTTAGGGCTTTAGGGCTTTAGGGCTTTAGGGCTTTAAGGCTTTACAAGTGGGTAGAATAAGTCGTATCTTCTTGTGTAAAGTCGTATCTCGGGCTCCTGCGCTCTGGGGATTCACTAACTCCAAGATTGGTCAGAGTCCATTTGCACCCCCAAGCAGAAATCTCATTAAATGTGCTCCCCTCCCAGGCGTGCGGTGACAAGTGCGTATTTTGCATGTGTGTCGAGAACATGCGCGTGCAGCGCGTGCACATTGGGGGAAAGGCTTCAACCTATGTCTCTGTGATGCGACTAGACGCGGGGTGATGGGACTTCGCTCGCAGCCGCGTGTCACCGGGGAGATGCGACTTCACACGCAAAGATGTGACTTGCCCTAGCCCATTGTAGGGCTTTAGGGCTTTTGGACTTTTGGGGCTTTAGGGGTCCCCGATGGCTTGGGGTTACACAAGATAATTTAGTCCCCAACGCCCAACCAGCAGCAAAGGTCGTCCGGACCAATCCGATCCTGGAGGCTTTCGGCAACGCGTCGACCACAAGGCAGGTTTTTGGGTTAAGGGTTTGGGGTTGAGGGTTTCGGGTAAGCCCTAAAACCCTAAACCCTAAACCCTAAACCCTAAACCCTAAACCCTAAACCCTAAACCCTAAACCCTAAACCCTAAACCCTAAACCCTAAACCCTAAACCCTAAACCCTAAACCCGAAACCCTAAACCCTAAACCCTAAACCCTCAACCCTGTAGGGTTGTTGGGGCCAGGGTTGAGGGTTGGATCTGGCCCGGCCGAAGCCAACCAGAAGCCGGCGGCTTGCTCATCCCAATCCAGCGCCCTCGAAGCGCCTGAGCCCTCAATCCTACAAGCCTTTTGGGTTTCGGGTTTAGGGTTTAGGGTTTAGGGTTTAGGGCTAAACTCCAAACGTCTCCATTTCGTTCAGGGGGTTTAGTGGTAGGGGTTCAGGGTTCAGGGGAGTGCGAAAGCTCAGAAAGCCCCCAACGCCCTAAGCCTCGGAACCGGCGAAGTTCGAATACGAAGCGCCGGAGGAACTCCAACTCGAGCCGCTTTGGCAAGTGGTTGGACCTCCGCTTTTCTGAGGCACCAAGGGGTAGGTGGGGGGTGGTGGGGGCTTGGGGATTAAACGTCGGTTTCTTGGTTGAGGGGTCCAGGTTGTGGGGTCTCCCAGGAACCCTTCAATGTACCCCAACAAACCTAAACCCTAAACCGTAAACCCTAAACCCTAAACCCTAAACCCTAAACCCTAAACCCTAAACCCTAAACCCTAAACCCTAAACCCTAAACCCTAAACCCTAAACCCTAAACCCGGGGTGGACATGCACCTACGCCCCCCTCTTCTGACCGGGCATCCACAAACTGCAAAGACGGGGTTTCCCTACAGAAACCCGTGGGCCCTGAAGGCTAATCTTTAGGGTTTAGGGTCTTAGGGTTTGGGGTTTAGGGTTTAGAGTTTAGGGTTTAGGGTTTAGGGTAACCCACGACCCAAACGGCTTTCCTCCTTCGAGTCATAAAGGGTTGAGGAAACTCTGAAAAACTCTACGTACCCCACAGAAGGGCAGCCATACCGGTTGTTGGCTGTAACCTTTTGTGGGTTGAGGGTTTGGGGTTCGGGGTTTAGGGCTGTAAGCAGCCAGGCGCTGACCATGAGAGGGTGTCGAATCACGAGCGCCTTGGCTGCCGCAATCGGACCCCCCCCCCCCGCCTCAAACACCCTAAAGCCCCAAAGCCCTAAAGCCCTAAAACCCTAAAATCCTAAAGCCCCAAAACCCCAAAACCGAACCCTAAAACCCTAAATCCCTAAAACCCTAAAACGCTAAAATTCTAAAAACAAAACCCCCCAAAGTGACCCTAAAACCCTAGAAGACCTTGAGAATAAGCCACAAATCCCAAGCCCCAAGCCATCCGACTCCACACCCGCCCCATGAGACCCTGTCAGCCAACCCCTGCTGGCCTGAGAGGGCCTCCAAGGCAAGCCATGCCCTAAACCTCTTCAAGCTCGGTATTAAATAAAAACACCGTAGTTCAACACCCTGAACCTACTATCAACACGAGATCTTATAAGCTCCAAAGCCCTTCTGCGCCTCCCACACCTGTGCGACGGGTTCGAAGATCTTCCGGAGCTTCCGAAGCTGAGTTGAACCTCCCCCCCTCCCCCTCCCCCCCCCCCTCCCCCTCCCCCCTCCCTCCCCCGACAAAAAAAACAAGAGAAAGAAAAACAAGGACCCAAGTCCCGTGGCTTGTTGTGCCCTATCGGCAGCTCCCCCCAACACATGCCTGAAGAGGCGAGCGAAAAATTACCCGAAACCAAAGTCGAAGCCCTATAGTCCTTAGGGTTTAGGCTTTAGTCTTGAGGGTTTAGGGTTTAGGGGGGCCTCTTGGAGCTTTGGCGCCACGCCCCAGACGCTGCCTTGCATACTGCCGCTGGCACAGGCTACCTTCTCGAGGTCACCCGTGTTTGTACCGACCCCAGAAGGGTTCAGGCTTCTTCGGCTTACACGGTTCGGGTTTCAGGGCTTTCGGGCCTTTCAGGGCGTAAGGCTTGGGGTTGGGTGTTGGTGGCCCGGATGCCAGGAAACCCAAAACTGTAAGACCCCAAACCTTGAACCCTAAGCCCCAAACCTCGAAGCACTAACCCTGAACCAAAAAGCCCTACCGCAAACGCAAAACAACGCCTAAACC